TGCCATCTTCCAGACAATTAATGAAGATATTGAACAAAACCGGTCCCAGGACCGACCCTTGGGGCACTCCGCTTGATACCAGCTGCCAACTAGACGTGGAGCCATTGATCAATACCCGTTGAGCCCGACGATCTAGCCAGCTTTTATCCACCTTATAGTCCATTCATCCAGCCCATACTTCTTTAACTTGCTGGCAAGAATACTGTGGGAGATTGTGTCAAAAGCTTTGCTAAAGTCAAGGAATAGCACATTCACTGCTTTCTCATCCACAGAGCCAGTTATCTCATCATAGAAGGCAATTAAGTCATTCCTGACTAACCTGTCCTTGGGAAATCCTTGCTGAGTGTTCCTGACCACTTTCCTCTCCTTCAAGTGCTTCAGAATTGATCCCTTGAGGATCTGCTCCATGATTTTTCCAGGGACTCAGGTGAGGCTGACTGGCCTGTAGCTCCCCATATCCTCCTCCTTCCTTTTTTCAGGATAGGCAATGCATTAGCCTTTTTCCAGTGGTCCGGGACCTCCCCCGATCACCATGAGTTTTCAAAGATAATGGCCAATGGCTCTGCAATCACATCCGCCAACTCCTTTAGCACCCTCAGATGCAGAGCATCCGGTCCCGTGGACTTGTGCTCGTCCAGCTTTTCTAAATTGTCCCAAACCACTTTTCTCTCCACAGAGGGCTGGTCACCTCCTCCCCATGCTGTGGTGCCCAGTGCAGCAGTCTGGGAGCTGACCTTGTTAGTGAAGACAGAGGCAAAAAAAGCATTGTGTACATTAGCTTTTTCCACATCCTCTGTCACTAGGTTGCCTCCCTCATTCAGTAAGGGGCCCACACTTTCCTTGACTTTCTTCTTGTTGCTAACATACCTGTAGAAACCCTTCACATCTCTTGCTAGCTGCAACTCCAAGTGTCATTTGGCCTTCCTGATTTCACTCCTGTATGCCTGAGCAATATTTGTATATTCTGCGCTGGTCATTTGTCCAATCTTCCACTTCTTGTAAGAGTCATTTTTGTGTTTAAGATCAGCAAGGATTTCACTGTTAAGCCAAGCTGGTCGCCTGCCATATTTACTATTCTTTCTACACATCGGGATGGTTTGTTCCTGTAACCTCAATAAGGATTCTTTAAAATACAGCTAGCTCTCCTGGACTCCTTTCTCCCTCATGTTATTCTCCCAGGGGATCCTGCCCATCAGTTTCCTGAGGGAGTCAAAGTCTGCTTTTCTGAAGTCCAGGGTCCATATTCTGCTGCTCTCCTTTCTTCCCTGTGTCAGGAACCTGACCTCGACCATCTCATGGTCACTGCCTCCCAGGTTCCCATCCACTTTTGCTTCCCCTACTAATTCTTCCCAGTTTGTGAGCAGCAGGTCAAGAAGAGCTCTGCCCCTAGTTGGTTCCTCCAGCACTTGCACCAGGAAATTGTCCCCTACATTTTCCAAAAACTTCCTGGATTGTCTGTGCACTGCTGTATTGCTCTCCCAGCAGATATCAGGGTGATTGAAGTCTCCCATGAGAACCAGGGCCTGTGATCTAGTAACTTCTGTTAGATGCCAGAAGAAAGCCTTGTCCAGCTCATCCCCCTGGCTTGGTGGTCTATAGCAGACTCCCACCACGACATCACCCTTGTTGCTCACACTTCTAAACTTAATCCAGACACACAGGTTTTTCTGCAGTTTCATACCGGAGCTCTGAGCAGTCATACTGTTCTTACATACAGTGCAACTCCCCCACCTTTTCTGCCCTGCCTGTCCTTCCTGAACAGTTTATATCCATCCATGACAGTACTCCAGTCACACGAGTTATCCCACCAAGTCTCAGTTATGCCAATCACATCATAATTCCTTGACTCTGCCAGGACTTCCAGTTCTCCCTGCTTGTTTCCCAGGCTTCTTGCATTTGTGTATAGGCACTTGAGATAACTTGCTGTTTGTCCTGCTTTCTTAGTATGAGGCAGGAGCCCTCCCCTCATGCACGCTCCTGCTCGTGCTTCCTCCTGGTATCCCACTTCCCCACTTACCTCAGGGCTTTGGTCTCCTTCCCCCGGTGAACCTAGTTTAAAGCCCTCCTCACTAGGTTAGCCAGCCTGCTTGCGAAGATGCTCTCCCCTCTCTTTGTTAGGTGGAGCCCAATCCTCTCCAGACTCTTAAGGTCTGGAGAGTATTGGGTGTTTTATAATCACCCTGCCATTTTCAAGCAGCCATCTTGTTTGGACAGGAACACAGACATCTAGTGGCCAAAGAGAAAGCTGGAAGCCAGCAATACACAAGATCTAGTCCCAGCCTTGTCACAATAGGTGGGCCCTAACAAGGCACCTTTGGATTTATACAGCTCCTTTCCAAGGACTCACTATGTGATTTACAAACAGCCAGACTCCAGAAAAAGGGAGTTTCACAGTCCACGGAGTGGATATCCCTGTTTCCCAGCTGGGGAAAAAGGGTCTGAAGCAGTGCCTTGTCCAAGTGTGCCCATGGCAGAAGTGGGAACACAAAGGTCTCTAGACTCCCAGTTCAGAGATTAATAAATAAAGCCACGTTGCCTATTATGAAAGTCATTTTACCTTTCAGCATCAGTTTCCTCCTCAGTAAAATGGGGAGAACAGCTACCTCACAAAGCAGTACTAAGGATTCAAGTCTATCCAATCTTCATGTTTGTGCAGAATTTTGAACACACTGAAATAGGACTCCACAGCAGAGAAATGGATAGATAAGAATATATATAGTGAGCACCCATCTTCACTGAAGTTAGAGTAGTGTTTAAAAAAGTTTTAACCAGTCCAATTAAAAGTCCCCTTCCTGCTCAGGTTTTGCTGTTTAGTGTCACAATTTTCACTAGTTCTCTAGTCACCAGAGTCTCCTAAGCTAGACAGGGCCTGAATTCCCAGACAAAAGAAATAAGCACGGAGGGAGAAACAACAAAAAACCTTCCATTTTTTCCCCAGAGGGAAAGCATTTCAGGCCTCCTTTATCCCCTATAAAGTAACAAAGAAAGGGTACAAAGCTCATTTTTCACCACGCTCTGCAGGTCTACTTTAAAAATGTAACCTTGAGTTTCCCAGCATGTACCACCCTTTAAAAAAAATACAATATTCTGTTCAAGTTCTTCCCTCCCCACAGCCCGAGCCCAGGGCTATAGTACTGCATCAGGAACATAACCCAATGAAGTAGCATCTGATATAGACAACAGCTCAACCACCATCTATCCAGTCACCTCCATGCAGCAAAGCACCACCGTGGGGCATTGAGATCACTACTTACTCAGAAGGAAGAAAGCACATCCCCAATTTTCTTATCCTCCCATTAAGCAACTGCCCCATTCTACTCGGGGGGGAGGGATAGCTCAGTGGTTTGAGCATTGGCCTGCTAAACCCAGGGTTGTGAGTTCAATCCTTGAGGGGGCCATTTAGGGATCTGGGGCAAAAATTGGGGATTGGTTCTGCTTTGAGCAGGGGGTTGGACTAGATGACCTCCTGAGGTCCCTTCCAACCCTGATATTCTATGATTCTATGATTCCTACTTAGTATTCACAACTGGACAACACCACAGCTTCCTAAAGCCGGATGAAGAGCAGCTACAGGATAGGCTGCTACCAACCTAATGTTTCCCAGTGTAGTCAGTGTCTTTTACTGCAATGACAGACCACACACTGCAAGCCATCATCTCCACAGACATTCTGAGCTGGCTGCAGCACACAACTTGCATATACCTGAAGAGATACCGAAGCCACAGAAGGCTGAATTCAGGAACAGGGACTGAGCATTTCAGTAGGGCAAATTAACAGAAGAAACTCAGAAGGCAAGAGAAAAAGTTCCTCATCTCAGTTCCTCATTCTGACTACCAATGAAAAGCTAGTGGGGGGGCCTAATCCTGCTCTCATTTTACCAGTGGAGTACGGTCGGGAACAGCACTGAAGTCAATGCAGATACACTGCCAAAAAATGGAGGGGGGGGCAGCACACAGCAAGTTTTTCCATTACCACCTATCTCCTCTGTGGCTGTGTGTCTTAACCAGGAATTAAAGATGGTGTTAGAACATCAGTTAGGCTGCCTGCTAGACTAACTTGGCCAGCTAGGGAACATTAAAGTTGACATTATCTTGTCTACACTACCTTTTAGAAGATGGTGGCTAACATCACACCACCTATCCTAGTCGAGACAAACCCAGTGACACTGTGGTGATATACAGGGATGTCAAGAAGGAGAATGTGGGTAGTAAAGATACTCCTAGTGGCTTGTGCTGGCCAGGTCTAGCATGGAGGGCTAAATCACCAGGTGGTCTTAGAGGAGTGAAAAGGGCCCCAACAGGGATCAAAAGCTAAAGTAAAAGCTATATTTGCACCAGAACCCTGCCCAGAAAAGAAACACAAACAACAACAAAAAAAAATACCACACACACCCCACAAGAGAAAACAAAACCCAGGGAGGCAAACTGCTACGTCTCACTTCTTGTTTATGGCAGCTCCCATCTGTCCCTGCAACTACTCCACCCACTCAGGCAGGGTATGCACAATGGTGAAATGGCAGGAAGTGAGTGAGACCAAAGGGGAAGAGCTTTCACAATCTGAGACAAGCTACAGAGTGAGGTAAGGGATGAATCACAGATATGGAAGACAGTGTGAGCCATCCCACAGTGAGCCAAGCTGGGGGATTCTTCCCTGCAATATAACTGCCCCCTACACTGATATTTATGGTATTCCTACAGACTCTGGTGAGAGACCAGAATCTCTCCGCCCCCTTTCCTCTTGGGGAGGAAGATGCTATGCATGCCTAGATCAAAGTGATCAGAATAGTTTCCTCCTCCTTCCTCCTCCCCCCCCAACACACACACCCCTTTGTAGCTCGCTCTGGAGTCCTGCCACCCTCCCAGTGTGAGCACCCATCTATTCTTCATAGCAAGTTGCTTATTCATTGTTTAGACCAGGCACAGACCATATGCACTGAGAACGCAGGAATGCACATAAGCTCCCACAGATGGAGCAAGTAATAAGTTATGTATATCACATACCTTCAGCAAGCAAAGGTGCTGCAGCTGGTGGGATCTCCCCCACTTTCCCTATCCGAGCACATTGGGCACCAGCCCCAGAAGGCTGGGGCAGTGGCAGATCTGAGGCACTCCCAGGTACAGCACCCCCAGCCTTGAATGGGTTCATTTTGGGCTTAGGGGCAACCACTGGTGCAAACTTCTTCTGCGGGTTGTAGAAAGTTGGGGTGGAAATATTGATGCTGACTGTGGAAGTCATGCGAGTCCCCGGGCTACCAGATGATGCCATCTTGCTGCTCAGCACCTGGGGGCCAGGAGGAGAGTGGAGACACAGACATGAGATCAGACATGACCCTGCAAGGGAAAACAAATCTGGAGAAAGGCATAGCAGGAAACAGAATTGGAGGGTGGGTGCACCTGAGTGAGATTTGAGGGACATGAGTAGAGCTTGGATGCCCCCAGGACTGGGAGACAAATATGTTTTGAAGTAAGAAATACTGTCTAACCCAGAGGCAAACCCTTAACAAGTGCTTCTCCCTGGGATGCAGGGGAGGAACAACTGGCCAAAGCACCAATAAACTCTCTCCACCTTCAGCCCTTTTCTGAATGGGATTAACAAACATGGAGGGGTCGGGGGGGGGGAGGCAGTAATTATAAACTGAGAGAAGGACAAAGCTGGGATCAATGCAGAAGAGAGCTGCTCAAGAAGTCAGCCTTCTGCAGATGGCTCAGATCCCCACACCTCAGACTGGAGCCCCCCCCACCAAGAGGCAGCTTTAGCATCTCTCACATCACACCACCACCCATAAGCTCGGGGCTTCAGGAGGGTGTGTCACCACTGCATCCCCACCAACTCTGTCTGTCCACCTCTCCCAATCCTCTCCTCACAACCCCACCCCCATCCTTTTACCTGTAGACCCTCAGCCCTCTCTGGTCAGGGGGAAGCTCCGACAGCTGCAGCACAAGCAGAACAAAGGGAAGCCTGGGCGATTCCATAAGGTCACACATTCCCCAGCCAAGCCCTTTGTCTTGCTGTCATTTCTGTCTTGCTGTCCCTTCCTGTCATTGTAGCAATAAGCAAGAGCTCCTACAGCATCCTCAATGGCCGCAACGGCTGCCTGCCCTGCCCCCGCCCCTTCCTGCAGGAAGCAGCTCCTGGATCCAGCCAGCCTCACTAACACATTCCTAGAGTCATTCCCTCCCAGCCCCTGCTGTATAGAGCAGGAGCGAGCAAACTTTTTGGCCTGAGGGCCACATTGGGTTTCCAAAATTGTATAGAGGGCCGGTTAGGGGAGGCTGTCTCCCCAAACAGCCAGGCATGGCCTGGCCCCTGCCTCCTATCAGACCCCCCCTTCCCCCCCACTCCAACGGCTCCCCCAGGACTCCTGCCCCATCAAACCCCCCTGCTCCCTGACCACCCCGGACACCCCACCCCTGACTGCCCCCTGCCACCCCATCCCTGACTGCCCCCCCCAGAACTTCTGCCCCATCCAACCCCCCTGTTCCCTGCCCTTGTCCGCCACAACCCCTATCCACACCCCCCGAACTCCCCTGACCTCTATCCAACCCCCACTCCCCCCTTACCGTGCTGCCTGGAGGCCGGTGGCTTGCGGCGCTACAGCCGCGCCACCCAGAGCACCGGGTCAGGCCGTGGCTCTGCGACTGCGCTGCCCGGCTGCCCAGAGCATTGTGCCAGTGGCTTGGCACAGAGGCTGCAGGGGAGGGGGGAACAGCAGGGGAAGGGCCGGGGACTAGCCTCCCGGGCTAGGAGCTCAGGGGCCAGGCAGAAGGGTTCCACGGGCCATAGTTTGCCCACCTCTGGTATAGATGCTGCCCTAAAGCCAGCCCATCCATTGCCTGGCCTCAGGGTGCCGCATAGCACAGCACAGCACGCAGCACTTTCCTGTTTGCCGCAGAATATGCTCACAGGTCCATCCTACCAATGGTGTCTTCCTAGGGTCTAGCTCAGTGGTTCTCAAACTTTTGTACTGGTGACCCCTTTCACATAGCAAGCTTCCAAATGCAACCCCCCTCTTATAAATTAAAAATACTTTTATATATTTAACACCATTATAAATGCCAGAGGCAAAGCAGGGTTCCCAGCAAGGTTGATACCTCACAACCCCCCTGAAGGGTCCCAACCCCTAGTTTGAGAATCCCTGGTCTAGCTAGAGTACAGCAAGCTGCATATTTCCACCCCCAGGATCAGGGCCCAGCCATGTCCTGAAAAGCGAGTTCTCGAAGGCTTGTATGTGGCGAACTTGGAACTCCCTGAAACACTCCCCATCTCCTGCCCCATCCTCCAAACCACCACTCATGTTGCCCTCAGGATGTTTCCAAACTCACAACAGCCAGGAGCTATTGACAATCTCCTGATAAGAGCCCAGATGTCTAAGATTTCTCCCCATGCTGGTATCCAGGCCAGAGAGGCACTAAGTTTATCATGCTGACCGCACACAGTAATGCTCCCAATGGTAGAGAGGCAAGTATGCCAGCATTTGGACTTAGTTTGTTTTGAACAACATTCTTCTACAGTGCCTGCTGCTGCACTGTCAGCATGGATGATGATGGGCTGCTGTAACAACAGGACATCCTCCTGCAGCTATTCCACAGTGCTGCTATCACTGAGGAGACATACGTGGGCCACTTACCCATACAAGTTCTCGAAGTTGTGGGGTACTCTGATACCTCAGATACTGTATTTGAGTTAGTTGTTATATTGGAACCAATCCTCACCAGCCCTCCCTCTCCCCTCCACCCCCTATATCATACTTACATCCAGCTGAGGGTCAGGGAGGGAAGAAGAATCATCAGCATTGACTAAGGGCAAATCTATACTGGCAATGTTAAAGCCATGTTAAAGCACTACCCCAAGCAAGAAAGTTGCAGTGCTGTAAAGTGCCAATGTAGACAAGCCCTAAGTGTCTGAAACTACAAGACCTTATTCTTACATGAGAGGAAAGTGATCAGGAACAGCCAGCATGGATTCACCAAGGGAAGGTCATGCCTGACTAATCTAATTGCCTTCTATGATGAGATTACTGGTTCTGTGGATGAAGGGAAAGCAGTGGATGTATTGTTTCTTGACTTTAGCAAAGCTTTTGACACGGTCTCCCACAGTATTCTTGTCAGCAAGTTAAGGAAGTATGGGCTGGATGAATGCACTACAAGGTGGGTAGAAAGCTGGCTAAATTGTCGGGCTCAACGGGTAGTGATCAATGGCTCCATGTCTAGTTGGCAGCCGGTATCAAGTGGTGTGCCCCAAGGGTCGGTCCTGGGGCCGGTTTTGTTCAATATCTTCATAAATGATCTGGAGGATGGTGTGGATTGCACTCTCAGCAAATTTGCGGATGATACTAAACTGGGAGGAGTGGTAGATACGCTGGAGGGGAGGGATAGGATACAGAAGGACCTAGACAAATTGGAGGATTGGGCCAAAAGAAATCTGATGAGGTTCAATAAGGATAAGTGCAGGGTCCTGCACTTAGGACGGAAGAACCCAATGCACAGCTACAGACTAGGGACCGAATGTCTAGGCAGCAGTTCTGCAGAAAAGGACCTAGGGGTGACAGTGGACGAGAAGCTGGATATGAGTCAGCAGTGTGCCCTTGTTGCCAAGAAGGCCAATGGCATTTTGGGATGTATAAGTAGGGGCATAGCGAGCAGATCGAGGGACGTGATCGTTCCCCTCTATTCGACATTGGTGAGGCCTCATCTGGAGTACTGTGTCCAGTTTTGGGCCCCACACTTCAAGAAGGATGTGGATAAATTGGAGAGAGTCCAGCGAAGGGCAACAAAAATGATTAGGGGTCTGGAACATATGAGTTATGAGGAGAGGCTGAGGGAGCTGGGATTGTTTAGCCTGCAGAAGAGAAGAATGAGGGGGATTTGATAGCTGTTTTCAACTACCTGAAAGGGGGTTCCAAAGAGGATGGCTCTAGACTGTTCTCAATGGTAGGAGATGACAGAACGAGGAGTAATGGTCTCAAGTTACAGTGGGGGAGGTTTAGATTGGATATTAGGAAAACTTTTTCACTATGAGGGTGGTGAAACACTGGAATGCGTTACCTAGGGAGGGGTAGAATCTCCTTCCTTAGAGGTTTTTAAGGTCAGGCTTGACAAAGCCCTGGCTGGATGATTTAACTGGGAATTGGTCCTGCTTTGAGCAGGGGGTTGGACTAGATGACCTTCTGGGGTCCCTTCCAACCCTTATATTCTATGATTCTATGATTCTATGATTCCCCCAAGGTCAGGCACTGGGCATATCAACCATCCATAAGGGTGCTGGGGAGTAGATTACCAAATGTTAAGCCCAGAAGGGGCCTTACCATCTTCCAAGGTTCCTTCCCCCCTCTGAACTCTAGGGTACAGATGTGCGGACCTGCATGAAAAACCCCCTAAGCTTATTTTTACCAGCTTAGGTTAAAATTTCCAAGGTACAAACTATTTTACCTTTTGACCCTGGACCTTAAATGCTTGGTGGTGGCAGCAATAACAAATATAACAGGGAAAGAGCCCACTTGGAAACGTCTTTCCCTCGAAAATCCTCCCAAACCCTACACCCCCTTTCCTGGGGAAGGATTGATAAAAATCCTCGCCAATTTGTATAGGTGAGCACAGACCTAAACCCTTGGATCTTAAGAACAATGAAACAACAACCAGGTTCTTAAAAGAAGAATTTTAATTGAAGAAAAAGTAAAAGAATCACCTCTGTAAAATCAGGATAGTAAATACCTTACAAGGTAATCAGATTCCAAACATAGAGAATCCCTCTAGGCAAAACCTTAAGTTACAAAAAGACACAAAAACAGGAATATACATTCCATTCAGCACAACTTATTTTATCAGCCATTTAAACAAATCAGAATCTAACACATATCTAACTAGATTGCTTACTGACTTTTTACAGGAGTTCTGACCTGCATTCCTGCTCTGGTCCCAGCAAAAGCAACACAGACAGAGCTAACCCTTTGTTGCTCCCCCGCCAGCTCTGAAAGTATCTTGTCTCCTCATTGGTCATTGTGGTCAGGTGCCAGAGAGGTTATCTTAGCTTCTTAACCCTTTACAGGTTAAAGTTTTTTCCTTTGGCCAAGAGGGATTTAAAGATGTTTACCCTTCCCTTTATATTTATGACACCATCATTATTGGGACCTTCCGCATAACAGATCATAGACTCTCACCCAGTGATTCTGCTTCTAACTAATTTCCACTTGAGCTAAGGCATATCATTTTGAAAGATATCCAGTCTTCATTTAAAGACACCAAGTGACGGTGAATACACCATGTACTCTGGTAAACTGTTCCAATAGTTAATTACCAGCCACTGGGTCTTGTTATGCCTTTATGGGCTAGTTTAAAGTGTCCTCCGACATGAAAAATCCTCTCCCCTTGTCGGCACTTAAAGATGACATCCTAGTCACCTCATGATCATACTCTATAATGGGGCTGGTCTTTATAGAGATGGATTGTGGGACATCTGCTGCTTCATGCAGATACCTTAGTTTCATTACCAGCAGCTGTTCCCATCTCCCTGACCCCAGAGCAGTCCTTTTCCCCATATACTCTCTCTAGCCCAAAGCCTCTCTCTCCTCACAGCAGCCTCCCTCCTACAGCTGCCCCTGTCTGTCCCAAGTTCTGCTTAAAAAACAGCATGAAAGCATATCTTCTGTTTGTCCACCAGCCACCCTATAGCCTAGAGGGAAGCGAAAACGGAGATGCCAGGGACTGGCCTTCCTCTCCTCCCCCTATCCAGGCTATGGTTCCGCCACAGTTCTACTGGTATCCATCAATCCTGACCTGCAGCTCCCCGATTATGAAATGTGCATTAACAGGGTCCTGTTATTCAAGCATACCAAAAAAAAAAAAAAAAAAAAAAGTACTGAGGGTGTGTCACTGGGCAAGTCTGAGCCTAAATTAGTTATCAGACCTCCCTCAAAGAAAGATATTTCCTGACATCTACATCAATGAGAAGATGTAGCCACAGACGCTAATGACACCAAAGCCTCAAGCAAGGGCTATGTATGACCTGTCTCTACTGATTAGGGGCAGAAATTGAGATTTAGATCCTTTCACTGGCCATAGTTGCACTGGTTACATGAAAGCAATCCATTTTAAGGCATCACAGACTGCTCTGTT